TATTAAAATACCAACTTTATAGGCCTTAAACATACCTAAAGACCTCATTACCACATAGAAATGATAAGACAGATTCTTACCTTTGGAGTAGATTCAGCAGAATTATCACTAAAGTTGTGCCGTTTTACAAGGCCAACTCCAACACCAAACCCACTAGTCAGAACTGTACCAAGACTTAATTTAGGAGCTGTCAGTTTACTCCACTCCTGATAAACAAAAGAAAAACACAATCAATAAAAATTAAAACATTTTATTAATTACAAGCATGTCTGCAAGAAAAAATCAAACTGTATACTTACAGAAGCAGTACGCCCCTCCTTTGTGGTCGCAGTCTCACCCTGAATACTAGCAATAAGATTTCCTTTGCTTTTACCAGGCTGTAAACGTTCTGTTGTTCTACGTTTTGGGGCTGCATTAGCACTATCTTTACCAACATCCTTTCCTTCTTTAGATTTATTTGATCCTCCTGGTGTTTTGCGTTTCACGCTTCCATCCTGTTGGATAAGATAAGTATAAGTGATAACTAAGATAAATATTTTGTTGACAGTAAAAAAAAAATTTACTAATTGAATTTAGAAGGAATGGATAGCAATTGTAATGTAGTAATTAAAGTAATGTAATTTTCCCAGTGTAGAAGAATTATTTTCTAAATACCTTTTCTTTTTCATCTTTTGAATTAGTAAGTGACTTCTGACTGTCTTGATCATCACCAAGACATTGAGATGGAGAGCTACTAGCAGATGAAAATTCTGACCCTCGAGGAACATCGTCAAGCCATCCAGACAAATCCTAGAAAAAAACAGAAAAAAAATCATAAGGTTGGCACAGGGTTGTTGCACAAGGTTGTTCAAAGACAGAAAAATGTCTCAAGACAAAATATCCCACCTTCAAAATGTCCTCTGTGGCCTCTGATAATGCATGATGAATGGCAGGGTTCTTCAATACGCCAACTCCTTTTTTGAGTTGAGGAGGGGCTGGTTTCTGAGATTTATCCTCCATATTTTGTTCTGATTCAACCCGTTCTTTATGTTTTCTTCTGAAAGTTTCATTGCTGCTCATTTCCCTTTCCAAGGCAGCAAACGGATCTGCATCAACGACCTTGATGTCTTGATGAATGGTTTCTTTCTCTTCAAACCACCGGTCTTCCTCCTCCTGACTCATCCTCTTCATTCGTTTGCTGTCATTTATTTTCTCAGGCTTTTTCTGCTGATTTTTTTCTTTTTTCCACTCTTTAAGACCCTGTTTAAGCCCTTCCCATCCTGCATCATCCAGATCTAGGTCAAATATATCTTTCTTCTCATCTGCTCTCTCCTCAGCCTTTTCATCTCCACTTCCAACAAGTTCTGACCATGCACGGTCTCTTCTCTGCTGTTCCTCCCGAGTCAATGGCTCAGATTTGTTTTTGGTGCTGCCATCTTTAGACCGCTCACTTCGTATTGCACCTCTTTTCTCTCCAGCCTTGTCAGCCTTGTCAGCATCTTTGGCTTCATCATTTATTCTTTTCTTGTGGACAGCTGATTTTCTCATATCCTCCTTTTTACGTTTACTGCCATGTCTGTGACCAGAAGAACTACTGTCTCTACTATGGCTGGAAAGAAAAAGAAGTTACCAATTAAGCAAAGGAAATCAAGCAAGTAAAACTTTCCAATTACTTCAACAAGGAATTGTATCACAAAATAAAAAGCATTTTTAAGTTGGTTTGGGGAACAACATACCTTTGGTCGGATAAGTTTTCATCTTTCCACTCTTGATTTCCATCCCTGGTGTCGTCATTTATGCTGTCTAACCTCTCATCATCATTTTTAAGTTTACGGTGTTTTTCATGTTCAGTGATACGTGCAAATATTTGGCTTTTCTTGTGATTTGTTTTATATCTACTATCTCTGCTTTGGTCCCAATCAGAATCGTTACGAGTTATGTGTGAACTATTGTCATCATCTTCATCTTCATCCTCATCTTCATCATCAGCATACACCCTTTTCTTTTTGTCAGGCTCCTTCTTCCGCTCTTTACTTCGATGTTTGCTTTGGTCTCTACTGCTGTCACTTTGACTGCTGTGATGACTATGCCTCCGATCATGGCGGCGGTGCCTGTGTTTCTTTCTGTGTCGCTCCTCTGACGGAAACTCCACGGGTACTTCTTCATCAGATGAAAATCCACTTCCCACATAACGCTCCATACATTTCTCAAACCTCTCAAGTAAATTCATGGCCATTTCAGTATACTCTGTAAGACAACATTCAAAAAAATTCAAAGTGATGATGAAGTAGAAAAAATAATTACCCAATAGAATTAAGTAGACATTGAGAAAACTTACCACTCCCATCTCCATTGTACACTCTACAGTTATCAATAATCCGCATAAAATCTGCCCGAAAAAGTGAAACTGATGTGTAGGACCCATCATCTAATTTATCACCCATTCGATTCAGATCCATAGGTTTCCTAATGACACTATAGTATCGTGGAGCATAGTCCTCTGAAACTTCATCAAGGAAAGGCCATGCATCCTCATGGTTCTTAAGTTGTTCCAAAACTTTTAACATTCCTGTCTTTATGTCCTCTGTAGTGGCCTTGAAACTGGAAATAGAAAAAGAAAACAAGGGCTAATTAGATGACTCTCCTCTTATCCAAATTGACAATATTAATATAGATTTAGAGATGAAAGTGAACGCTACAACAAAAAGAATTTTCAAATCAGCACTAAAATTTAAATGAAGAGTAAACAATGTATCTCAATGTATCCACATCAAGCTATGGAAGTTTGGAATGACAGTCAACTCTGAAATTTTAGTTCACGCTTTAGTTAATGTGATGTTAATACAAAAGATACAATATCAAATGAAGTAAGTGGGACAAGTACCAAGAGAAGTGGGAATGCTAAAGCCAGATTAACAAGAGTCAGTACATGTGGTTTCTAACATCAAATTCACTGTCAATTCTGTGGTGGAAACAATAAGGGTAAGAATATGAAATGTACACATCTAGCAAAATAAAACAAAAGAATTCAGAATAAAGGCAAAGTTTACTCTGTTTTTAATTCTACAAAAGAATATACATGCAATCAATATCACTCCCTAGCAGACACCATAATAGTACAAGTTTTTAAGAATAGTGTGAGTAATTAGAAAATAAACACATAAGTAGAAAAACAAAAAGCTTGCAGAATAACAAAGTACAGAGTAAGGTTAATTAAGCCTGAAGTACAGGATGAGAATACAGTTAACACAATCATTCCTGTTGCCTCTTCTTTTTGGCTTGCCCTGAGCACTACTGAGTATGACCAAAAATCTAAATACTGGGTACTGGGTAGCTCTCAATTCAGCAGTTCTTAATACAGTACTGATCCCAGCAAAAATTATATTATA